TCGACGAGAAGCTGGTTAAGCGTCTATGATGCGAAGATAGATGAGAACGAGCTAAACGGGGAGTGGCAATCACGTCAGACGAACTAACCTGCTTCATATAATGCTGGTCTTTTGCACTACGCTTGCTCCCAATAGCATCCAATTCGTCGATGAAAATGATTGCGGGTTGTTTCTTCCTGGCAGCTGCAAACAGTTCACGCACACGCTTCGCTCCAGTACCGACAAAGATTTCGTCGAATTCGGATCTGGAACGAGTATGAGCTAGTGACACGAAGATTGGTCTGGTACCCATTATCTTACCCTGAGGCAAACAAGAAAGGAACACCAGCTTCGCCGGCAACGGCTTTCGCTAACATTGTTTTTCCAGTTCCAGGCGGGCCAGTGAGAACTGCATTGTTTTCCGTGAGCTCCTGTCGTCTAAATGTCATCATACGGCTGGTAGACTTACGAACACCCTTGGGCAGTCTTCCACCCAGCGTTGAGAAGCGTGTTGGATCCCTCAAGAACTCAACAATTTCTTCAAGATCCTGGTAGTATCAGGTAAGCGATGCTGAATACCACGGGGTAAGGATGTAAATAAGGTTCTTACCTCCTTGGCCTCGTCAACACCGTGAACGTCGCTGAATTTGACCGTCTTTCCCGTAGCAGGTTCCCATTCCTTCTGACCAGGACCAGCCTTCAAAAGACCCGAGTTCTCCAGCATAAGAGACAGGAAGGTCAAGCCAACTACGCAATGACGAGACGTCAGTTACCAAATTCTTAACACGTGAAATGATACCGAACTCACTGAAGCCGAAAAGAAGTGTCAATCCCGTAAACCGAACAATTCGCCAGACCATAAATCCACGTGCTGCTCGCAAGAAAAAGGAGAGAAATATATCAGTAACCCTTCAGTCCAACAAAAAACGAATTACAAACATTCTTCCAAAACGACACGAAGAGGAGCCTGCACGCCGTCCGCGACTACAGTTTGACCGGAAGCAGCAGTGGCAGCATTTGAAAATGGCCAGCGGGCAGGTTTTGGCGCCGGTAAAGCGAGAACCTTGTCGGCGATGACCTGGGAAGGCGATGGCTGGACGGCAGGCTCAGCGTTTACTTCGGGTGCAGGAGGAGGATGCGCCGCGATGATCGCTTCACGCCTTCGAACGGCTGAAGGGATCGATTCAGTCTGACCGGAGGCAATAAGAGACTTGAGGTAGAGCTCGAATGCAGATTCTGAGTGTAGCAGTGGTGATGAAGGGTCCTACGGATTTCGGCCGTCAACGACGTCACCTCTGTTGCAAGCAGAGATGGAGACTCACAAATTCGCACATCCGTTCCCACTGGCTGATGACCTTGTTATACCCATCCATATGTCCCGTTTCGTACAGAGCGTTCCACAGCGCTAGCTGCTTCTCGACGGCGTGCGGGTTCGAAGAGGCGTCAACCTCCAAGAGACGAATCCGGGCGAGCATCTGAGACGTCGGCGCTGCACTCGATCCTCGGTTGAATATGGAGATGCTTCGACGGGAGCCATTGTTGAACGATGCGAGAAGCGGGTTCCGAGCGTGCGCGGTGGCTGAGTACGAGCGGGTGCAAGTGCTGAGTAACTTGCTTGAGAGCCGCTGGGAGCGGGGTGGCGACAGGAACGGGTAGATCAGGCGTTGAGCGGTCAGAGTCTTGGAGGACGTGCTTGAGGAGAGGGAAAGGCCGGGTTGGTGTAACGAGCGGTATGCCGCCAGTGGGGAAGCTCCCGTTAGGATTTCCGCACTGGCGGTGACATGCCGAGAAATCGGAGCCTTCGGGTTCGCTCAAGTTAGCCTATCATTTGGGTCTAGTGATACGACAACCTTACAGCATTCGACGAGACATGTGTTGAGATTGCCGGGGTGGATGGCTTCTTGAACGGATTGAGCAATGCGAATACGGACTGGGCGGATGAAATGGGACTCGAACTAGCCACAGCCTAGAGATGAAAAGGTTTAGCTCAGGCGAACTGAATAGAGCAACGTGGGCCTACCAGAGCAGCTCCGGGCCACGCTACGGCCTGCATTGGTTGCGGTGGTCTTGGTCCAGGAGGATTTGGTTGTGAATGTTTTCGGCGAGACCGGGACGCGTTGACATTCGACTCGCTTACATAATCCCGAAGGACAATGACGCCTACCCGCTGACGAACTTCGGCTTGGCTATGGGACACGCAGACACACCCAAAGTTTTCAATGGAAGTCCGAGCACCACAGATGTATTTATTCGCGAAGCCTAACTAACTAACTACGCAAAAAAGAGACTAACTACTGAGCAGTGCTACAACGGAGATGGGATTTCTTTTCGGCCAATTTGAATCCTACACAACGCTTGCCGAACCGATGATGGGTGGAGGAACTGAAGAAGAAAAAGAAAACAAAGATAATAATCAATCGGAAGAGGTGGGAGAAAAAAGGAAGTGAAGGGAATAGAAAAAGAAAGGATATCCAATCCCCTCTGGAATAGTAAAGTAAAGAGCCATCCAAGCCAAGTGTCCATACATTTCGTCGCGCAAGAAGTTTCGTGAGATCAAGAGAGCGAAGTCGGCCAATGGGTGGCGACAAAGGGCCATAAGTCATACCGAGGGTCGTGAATTTTTGGGTTGGTGGAGAATTACCACCATTGGCCTCGCTTCTGTGATCGTGTCTCATAGATGGTCACAGTGTCGGGTTCCATGTAGACGGGAGTAGGAATTTCGACATAGATCTCGGTGGTCTTGCCAGAGCCAGCGGCAGTTGGGGTGCCAACATAGGTCTCTGGGGTGGGCCGAGCTGCAACACGGGTAGGAGCCGGAGCTGGGGACTGCGTTGCGCCAACAGGAGGAACGGGAACTTCCTGGAACTGGAGGGGAGAACAAGTGCACCGGTCAGCGTGATCTGATTTGAAGAAAGCGGAAAGAAGAACCTGAGGAGCTCAGGGAGGGAGGGGAGACGGCACGAACATTGATGGACGAATGTATAGGCAGGTTGGTTGGAGGTTTACAGAGAAGGATGAGTCCTTGAAAGTCGTAACTAGAATCGTAGAGGGGTGTATGTGTTGTCCGAAAGTTCGTAGTCCAGTGCCGATGAGATCCGTTCCAAATTGCCGTGCGTCCCCTCCCTCATTTAATGGTTGCGAGGAGGAGTCGGGTTATTCACCTTGGGAGGGGGTACTGCTCTCCTGGTCTCTCCGTAGTAGTGGCGAGGTGGTTGCTCATGTTCATAGACAACTTCTTCGATGGGCTCGGCGTGGATTTTCCTGGCAAACAACGCGTCAGACATGTGACGTATTGAAGTAAACGGATGCAAAACTTACTGGAGTTGGTCGATGATCCAGCTTTCACGCTTGGTGGCATCGGATTCACGCTTGCCAACAGATTCTTCGCGCTGACCGACCTCCTTCTCGCGATCAGACATCTTCAACTCACGCTGAAGGATGCTCTCAATGCGGTCTTGCAACCAGGCGGGGTTGCTGGGCTCGACCTCCTTGATGACCTCAATCTCCTTGATGACGGTGTGAGTGGCAGCGGGAGGAGCGGGAGGGGTGGCACGCTGGACGACGGAGATGGCAGGAGCTGCTTCGACGATTTCCTCAACAATGGATTCGCCGCAAATAGGGCAGCCAATTCCCCAGCCGCCGGGACGTCCGGCGAGAAGCTCGGCCTCGCGCCTGGCGACTTCGGCTTCACGGAGAGCGACTTCAGTCTCGCGGGCAACAAGGTCGTGGCTCCGCTTGGGAGTGAGGTAGCCCCAGAAAGAGTGGCTGACACCAGCGTCTTGCTCGCTGGTGTTGATCTCCGGAACGTTGCTATTACGGTTCGGAGTGGGGATAACGCCACCTCCACTGCGAGAGGGAAGGGAAAGCATGACTGCCAAGACGGCGAGGATCAGGGAAAGGACTAGAAGAAGGGTAGTGGAGGAGATAGTGCGATGGCGAGTGGAAGAAGAGCTGGTTCGTCGTTCACGGGTCGTGCCGCGGTCATCATCACGATCGCGGTCGCGGTGAGAGCTGGATGGGTGGGCCTAGAGGCAAATTTCAAAACGAACCAAGAGACAATTAGCTTCCGATCGACGAGATTGCAATTCTCGAAATGAGAATGTAAGAAACGGATAACGCACCATTCGGGGAGTTCGGACTGCGGAAGGGGTGGTCGTAGAGGAAGAGGAAGTGTCGTCGTTAATAAGAGGTCCGGCGGATGGCCTACGGGAAGGATACGCTTCGGTTTTCAGATATTGTGAAATCGTGGGCGACTAGTAAGTATACAAGGAGGACAGCTTGGCTGGTGGGAGGAGGAGGAGAGGGAAGGCGAGGAGGAAGAGGATGTGGATGGAAGGGAAGTTGGGAGAGGGAGGGGATGCAAAACTCACCTTTTTATGGAGTGTTGGGAGACAAGGAACACCTCTGAACCGTTGTTCAATGTTCAAATCGTGGGAACGTGCCCAAACAACCCACAATGAACCACGAGGCTCCCCTCAGGGTCCAATTTGTGTCCTTGTCGGTTCTGCCGCCCTCCCCGACCAATGCACAACGCACAACACGAGGACCAAGCATGCCTCCGTCCATGACACGAGTTTATCGCTTATCTCGTACAACAATCGCCCCCGTCAACGCACTTGACCAGTCCTGCAGGGGCCGTTTGGAACACCAGGGAAATTCTCCTGGAGATCTCGAGTCCCACATACACCTCAAACGCTCCGGAAAGCGGGTTGGAAACTGCCTGGTGCTCTCAGAAAGCGTGTCTCGGTCGCCTAGCAGCAGATAGCGAGGCCAGTACTGCAGAAACGAGGCAGTCGGCGCTCTAAATGCATTTTTAAGAACCAACTTTCGATCGCACCATGGCGCGACAGGTCATACTTATTTGTACTACCGTAGCTAATTGATATCGTGCACAGCGTATTTTTCACGTTTCCGGTGGCGAGCCGGAGCCGGCCACGGGTAAAAATGCCGTAGTAAATACCCAATGGCTTGGCGGAAAAATTGCGGAACTAGAGTTAAACTAAGGGCGAGCCTCAATGACATCCCCCTTAACTCAGTGGTAGAGTATTGTACTTATGGGAAGCTTTAGCTGCGCTTCAGACATGAAATGCAGTGGTCGCCAGTTCGACCCTGGCAGGGGGAAACTTTTAGCCTGCGCGCCAAAGACCTTGGTTGTTCTTCGTTGTTACATTTTGTCAAACAACGACCGTCTATCTCTCTTTAGTCAGGTCGATCTCAGGAAAGAGATCTCGATGATCTGGCAAAAATCGGCTCGAGCAGGTGTGCCTGGTCTGTGGCGGAAAGACTTGTCAGGGAACGACGGCGGAAGCCTTGTGTGACCAAATCAACAATTTTCCTCCACTCATCACCGTTTCCGGGATCGCAGAACCACCGTGCAACTGTTTGCGAACCAGCGGGACTTGCAAGAGAAATACCGGGGCCTCCATCACGACGGTATTTGAACGCATCGGTGAGTTGCTTTTAGTTGGGTGGGATGGGTGTGCTGTTGCTTAGGTGCCGCTGACGCTTTGACCACCCGCACGGACCTCCTCTCGATCGCGCCGCGGCGTCATGTACGATTTAGGCGCCCTTAAAAGTTCAACGAACGGGAACGAATAGGACTGTTGGCGATCAATCAATTTGCTATTGGAGTCTGGATAAAGAAAATGTCGGCGAGCACGGGAAACGATGTTGGACGGAGTCAACCCGCTGCATCGCTTCACCACGGGCTCGCTTTACCGCAGTTTCCATCGAACGCTAGCTCCAACGTGTTAGGAAATGTGCAAGGTGCTCACAACGAGGCCCAAGCAGCGGCTCCCGCTGGCGACGGCGAAGATGAGGACGACGTTGACGGACAACAAATGCACAGTCCGTTAATAGAGCCCTCCGGCAACGCAGCGGCAGTCACGTCTTCAGCACCGCCTGGTCAAGGATCCTCGCCTGATAGGTCTCCTTCAAACTCCACATTGGACAATAGCGTTGTTCCCGATCCTGCGACCGAGGCGATAACTGCCGCTTCCTTGATCGTCGCCGCCGCCCAGCACCTTCCACCGGAAGGCCTGAACAGCCTAAACGCGGTCTTCCAGATCGCACGTCAACAAGCGTCTCAAACGATCAATGGAGCCCCGCCTCAACCTCCCTTCTCGCTTCCGAACATTGCCAATCCTTCGGCAGCCGATCCGGCCAGCGCTCTCGCGACGATGTTGAACGCGGCATCATTTCTAGCCCTACCCCAGGTAACAAACCACGGACATGAGGAAGCGACGCCAGGGGCTGGACCATCTACAGGAACGGTCCAGGCGATGAGCCCTTCATCACCTTCATCAAGCACTGTTCCACCTGCGATCGCAAGCGAAATTACCGCCATCCTTGATCACCTCTCAGCCCACCTTGAGAACGTCAACCGTCCGTCGACGTCCGGTCCCGCCCCGGTACCTCCATCATCACCCCAACAAAATCTCCCAGCGAATCGCGCCCCAACGTTGGAAGAACTGCTTGCTGCAGTGCCTCAAGTGCCGCAACCAGTTTTAGGACGGAAAAAGCGTTCGACCGAGAGCGACGTACCCGTGGTGCATGTCTGTGGCATTGACGGCTGTACCAAGGAGTTCAGCAGAAAAAGCGACTTGATGAGACATAAGAGAATACATACCGGCGAACGGCCCTTCCCGTGCCATATATGTGGCAAGTCGTTCATTCAGGTAAGAATGCTGGACTCCCTTCACACTTCGGTTGCTAAATCACGTTTTTCTACCAGCAATCCGCCTTAACCGTCCATCTTCGAACGCACTCTGGAGAGAAGCCTCATTTCTGCACCATAGCAGGATGCGACAAATCGTTCAGCGATTCTTCGAGTCTTGCGCGACACCGCAAGACCCACGAAGGAGACCGCCCATTCACTTGCCAATGGTCCGGCGAGATTCCTGGACAACCTGGTATATCGACATGCGGAAAAAGCTTCTCTCGACGAACGACCTTGACGAGGCACATGAAGGTTCACGACCCCAATTGGACCGGGGGAAGCGGTGGTGGCGGCGGCGACGAAGATAGCGAAAGTGAAGGATCACCCAACACATCTCAAGCCCAGGCTAAGAAAGCAAAACGAACTTTTGCTCCGTACCCAAGACCTCAACCGCAGTCTCAACCGATTCCGCCACAATCACCTATTCTTCCTCCCCCACCATCGGGTCCAATGATACCTCCGCACTTCATGCCACACCCTCCGATGCCGGGAGCGCCCCCTTTCCCTCACATGCCATACCATCACGGCATGGCTCATTCACCTCCATTACCGCCCCCACATCATCCTCACCATCCTCACCATCCTCATCCATATGCACCTCAGCAGCCTTACCTTGGGATGCCGCCTCCTATGGGGACGCCTTCGTTGGAGGATCAAGTGGCAAACACGTCAGCGGCTATTGCAGCTGCCATAGCTCAGGCAGCAGCAGAAAGTTGGCAAGCCGATGGTGGAGGGGAGGAGGATGAGGATGGAGAGGGAGATGAACCTGAAACCGTCCAGGAAGATAATACGATGCAGTCGAACGACCCAGATTCGCAAGCGGAGCAAGCAATTACCGGGAGCTCGGCATGATAAGCATAGTGTTAAACTTGTATCTTAGCAGTTCTTGTGCCCAACATTGCTATATTAACGTGTTCGCGTGGTTTCGAGTAAACAATATTAATTCAGGACCTACGTATAAGACATATCAAAATACTCAAGTCAATGCATAGAAGCGTCGGTCATGGAGCTTCTCGGCGATTGGTCTCCTGGTAGGTTCTTCAGCCGGTTGTAAAATAGGCCAATATCTTCCAAGCCGTCTCTCAATTGTCTGGTCAGCCTTATCTCGGCTTTCTTAACGGCTTCTTCGTTCTTGTTCTCCACATCTTCCAAAATAGGTCTGAGAGCATTCCTCGTGCGTTCGAAAACCTCGTTCCGTAGCTCTTCGGCCGGAAGCGGAGGCCTTTGAACCTGGGCTAGCCTCCTCGCAAGTTGCTCGATAATGCCGTTTCGGCGAGCACGGTCTTGCTCAAGCTGTTGAATGCGACGGAGTCTGATCAGAAGGGATGATAGGCCGCCAAAAGGCGAGGCTACCCACCTGTCCCAAGCGCTCACGCAGCTCTACATTTTGATCTCGTAGGCTCTTCAATGACATCCCCGTGGTTTTCTCTGTAGCGTCTGCAACTATAGTTGCCACAAATGCTACCTCCTCGCTAAGCTGATCAACTCGTTGTACAAGTTGGTCGCCAGATAAAGCGGCCTGTTGAGGGGATGGCGGCGTCTGGTCTTGGTTCGTGGCTTCGGAAACCGTCGCTGCTTGGTCCTCAGCAAGGGAATCAATCTTAGCCACGAGTGTTACTCGTGCATCCTCTACTTCTGCGCGAGCATCCTCTAGTCCTTGATCTAGCAGTTCGATCCGGCGTTTGAGTTTGGTGATTTCCTTGAAAAGAGATCGGCCACCAGCCTGGCCGGCTGGGACCGATGACGATGACGAGGGTCCAGCAATACGTTGGGCGGTATCCATATTGACGTCCCCATCTGAATCATGTGCAACGTGCTGGTCGTTGAAAGCAGCAACATGGTTCCGGTGTTCTGTCAAGATTTTTGACGTTTCGCTGACCGCTGTGGTGACTTGATGGACCTCCTCTTGAACTTGCTTCAGCGACGCTAGGAGATTTTTTCGTTCCTCTGTAGCTATGATATCATGTTTTGTATCTCCTCGTTCGCTCGTTGGCGGTTGGAATTCGGGATCATCGTCCCCCGGACAGCCAGACGCCAATTTGAAGCACAATTCTTTCAGCTTGGCGACAGCTGCTTTGTCTGCGGCCACTTTCTTGTCGAGTTCTTCAATCAGACGCTTGGAGCCTTCGGAATTCTGTTCTCCTTTGACAGAATACCTGTCTTGAAGACCTTTCAGGTTACTGAGCTCTGTCTTGATATTCAGCTGTCTTGCCCGTGTCTCCACTGCTGCAACAAGCAACCTGTTAAAGCCAAGAACGCAAAAACAGTAAGTTAAATGATTGACATAGGGAGAACCGTATCTCACACACCAAATTTTCTTGAGCCACTCATCCTTGGTCATGCGGGCAGTCTCAGCACCAGATTTGGTTGCCACCTCTGGGATAACGTCGACCTCCATTGCAGACGATAAAACTTCCCTTTCTTTCCCCTTTCCCTTTCCTTGAGATGTTGATGGCATGTCTACATTTCGGGAAGTGTAGGGAGCTGAAGGGGATGGGTTTCCCCCAACAGGTTTCCAAGAATGCATTTGTGTTTGAGACGGCGAGATGCGAGAAGCAATCCGTCTTAGACCATCTTCATTGCTTAAAGGCTGGCTTGCGGTAGAGCTGGGAGCGAATGAAGTGTTAGCAGCGGAAGGGCCAGCAGGGGGCTTGAATGGATTGTCAGTCTTCCTTTGGCCAAGACCTGAGCGCTTGAACGCCGGGTCCAAATCCGTTTTAGGGGCGTTTGTAGGAGGAATAGATGGGGGCGGCTGATTGGAAGATCTTGGAGCCATGGGGGCGGAAGTGGCGGGTGTCGCGGATGTTGCGGTTGCGGATGTTGACGTTTTCTGTGAAAGGGACGAGCCCGTCTCTTTGTCCCCCTTTGGTGCCCCGCGAGAGGATGGACCACCCCGGTTATCACTCCCATTTGATCGTGGGGACTGACGTGGAGGGCTCAGCGGTCTTGAAGACGATGCAGGTATCCGACTCCTAGGTGGTGGTGGAGGTGATGGAGTCCGGTCCCGACTGATTGAACGGCCTCGTGGACGATCTCGTCTATCCCTGTAGTCGTCTCTTAAGCGATCATCTCTCCTATCTCTGTAATCGTCCCTTCGAGGGGAGCGCTCTCGAGACCGGGACCGAGACCTATCGCGGCCTGGGCGCCGACTCCCCCACCCTCTATCTGGGCTTCTTTGCATTTCAGGACTTGGCCGACCAGGTCTGATTGGAACGAAGCCGGGATCACGTCGAAGGGCTTCCTCGAATTCGGGATCTCCGGTGTGGATGAAACTGAAGCCAGAATGGAGACCGAATTAAAAAGAGCATGGGTGCGTTAGGTAATCATGTTACTTGAAAAGAGGTTACAGGACGTACAAGCAAGACTTTGAAGGACGGTCGCACCACGGCCCGTACTGAAGGACA